TGTCGTTTGACCTTCGCAACCTTCAGAGAAATTCTGATTTTCACAGATGAAATCTAAACCTTTATCTGTGTCGATATTTAATTCGTAGTTCAAAATTCATATAATTTTATGAGAATTGACAATGATCGTAACAGGTTCATGAAGTATTGGTAATCAAGTGAATGTTACGCGAGCGTACATCGGAACACCTGGCATCCGTTAGTGTTGATAGATGACGGAGCTCCACGCCCCGCATCCCGCGACTCCCCGGTGAAAGCTACGAAAGCTCCAGCGCCCCAAAGCCACCGCTCACACGTGTCCTTCCCACAGCCACATTTTGTCGATCAACAATAATTCGACTTTTTTTAGAAAGCATTTACAGCACAACACAACAAAACTTATAACCGCGTTCTGTGTTCATATTAGAACAACTCGTAAACTTTGACCAAACCTTTTTTATCTATTGAAAAATACTCTATTAATACGTTTTAAGGCTTAGGCATAACCACGCATGGTACACCGGAATGTATGCATTAAATGTCAACCAATTTCGAACACTATTATAAAGAAATACTTAAATTCGGTATTGAATGTAAGCTGAAATCAAAATTAACTAAGATCAAATATGGTAATGTCATATAGTCAATACAAAGCGAGGTTGCGTCAGACCATGGCGGCTTCGGTCGGGCACAGCCACACAGGTGAGATTACAAAGAGACAGGTGTCGCCGCCGCAGCAACCCGCCCGCTACGAAATAAATCGCGTCTTACTAAGAGGGCCTCACCTACACAGACACACATACAGATTTATTTTAACAGCACACAAGAAGTGGGATACTACATACCTGTATTATAATTTGTCCAGACGTTTTGGTATGTTTCATATTTTACATAAATTCCAAGCGCGTACGCTCTGCATTTAAACTCGTCATTCCATAACACAGCTCAGACAAGGTGAACAATAAGGTACGCGACATATTCTGAACAATAGCCGCAGATACGATAGGAATCGGAAATTCGCTACTGACGTTGTTGAGGACTCCTACCTATTGTCGTACAACTCTATACAATACCATTCTTTTATAGAGCAGGAATACATACATATTTGACACACCGCAGTTGCAGCGGTCGTTGACCGAATAAGGACCTTTGCCGAAGGTGTTTGGTTATATAATTGTGTTAAATCCTTAATCGTAATCTATTGACACAAAGAGAACGTAATTAGTGAAATATCAGATAATTTGTACACATTACGGCAATGTAAATATTCTACATCCGTGCACAGCAACATGGTCATAAATGAGTTAAATACAAACAGACGCGCCCTATTACCATGATACCATATTTACACAAAATGTGTGTATACATACGTATATGGTAGGTATAGACTGAACCAAGACCAACATTTGGATGTTTGGATTATATAACTCAAATACAGGTTATTAGATCCCAAATTAGTATTAGCGAACTATGACAACATCCGTCCCGTAGTGTCGAGACAAATGAACTAACTCAAGAACATCTACTACGTCAGTAGTATTATTTCAATTCATCACAAAATTATTTCAATGGTTAAATGATTATTAACCAATAAAAAATTAATAACTTTTAAATCAATAAATTCAAATACTAATACAATAAATAATGAATTTCAAAGTAAAATTAGGTGAATGAAAAGCAAAGGTCGTGACCCAAATTGCACAACATTCAACAAGTTTAATGGGACATTCTCGCCATCAAGCCATTAGATGAAGAACACAACGTACGATCAAATGCATTGTCGATTCATAAAACGTTTCACACTGAAGATTACACCGCCGGAAGATGTAATCGCAGGATAGGCATTTGTTCGTGAAGGACGAAGGCAAACGCAAACTGCTTACAAGTAGATATAATAAGATAACGAGTAATGTACAATGCAATAAAAGCATTCAGCACCCGTAGCGTATATACAAGATTCGTAGCAATAACAAAATCAAATCATATGCTTTGTTCAACACTAATCTCTATTCAAAACACATCGATTCTTTGTTAAGACATATCGTCCATAAGGAACTATGTGGGGATTTATGTCTATAATAAAAAATAAAACATTTCAACTTGTAGGATGGTAGGTACTCAAACCTATCCTAATATTGGTTATTCTGTTGTGACAATACTTACGAAAATTGCCTTGACCGATCTAACAACCATAATAGCTTTAACAAATATATTCATTTAAAGAGGGAAATATTACACAATGATCGTGTCACGAACGTCATTCGACGCTCGGAGCTTCTGTTTACGATCATTCAATACTAGGCCTACAGATAACACGATAACAGCGCTTTGAGGCTAATTATGCGATAACGTACCCACAAAACATGTGTTGCGATAAAATTTGGAGATTTACGAGAACGATTATTGGATATTGAATAAAAACATTGCATGATATGATAGGAAATAGTGTAATTTGACGTTATAAGCCACATTATAATAAAATTATACATGATCATAGTTTCTAATTAAAAAACATAAAACGCGACGACTCATCAAAAAAGGCCGGTATAAACAATTTTATTGGTGTGATGAGGCCGCGAGGTACTTTCACCGAGGGTCGCTCGCCTTTTGGCCCAGTGCGAGTAGGTGAGACTGTCTGACAGAGCCAATCAGCTAACAACAACTCGAATACTACGCGACTGAGCGTCGACACTGCCTTAACGTCTCACCCATTCATAAAATCAAAGAAAAGAATAATCATATATGCGATAACAATATTTTTTTATATAGAGGCATCACCGCAGATGTCTCGGTCTGCTTCCCACATATAGTATTTATTCTCATGTTTAGGGCAACAACCTGGACTTTAAGAAGTTTATTAACTTTGGTGAAACACAAAGTGGGTCAAGTCAAGAACAGGTTTTCTCGGGTGTGTATTCATTGACTGAATTATAAAATCAGTGTTTACTAAGGTAAACACTTATACATACTCTAGTAGAATAATTTAAATATTGTGTACTACGGTTCTGTATATATTTAAATAGGTACTTAGGTTTGATTCCGTTTATATCTTGCTTCAACTCATAAATAAACTCTAGATTTCGTAAATGAGAATGATTGTGAAAATATAAATATTTTAATGGTGATTTATTGAATAATTATTACATTCATGTCAAACCAGCTTTCTACAGTCACGTTGAAAACGAAATTGAATATGACGAACGTGTATCTACCAAGTTAAATATTTGCACAACAAATGGGTAAATAATGTGTGCCGACTTAAAGCTTAAACTAATATTGCTAAAGACAACACGCTTAATTTTTTTCGACGTGAGTTGATCCTAAATTTTGCTATTATTAATGGTTCAGCGAAAACTGAAGAGAATGTAAACTTATTCAGTAAAATCTTATACATTCATTGAAGGCTGGGTTGTGACCTTGACTATATCTATTAATTTATAGACGCGTGAGTGGTTGTCAAGATATCATTTTATAATACGAGTAATGAAGAATCGTGATCTTAACCCAGATTTTACAGACAAGCGACCAGAGCACGAGGGCGCTCTATTGTGTTACTTTTGCTAGTAAAACTACGGCTGGCATATTTAGGCAGCTATTCTGGTGAGCCATTTAAGCATTGATTTATAGTGACGTACGTAATCGGTCAGATATTCGGCACCACCTTAGTAACAGACGAATTGACAGACAAGACAGCCGCTCCTTATTTATGTACTTAGCCCATTTGCACTTTCCATTCGGCTCGTGATCGTGAAGACATGGTACACATATTAATCGACCCTCGGTTTATCCCAATACAATAGGCTACCTACTAGCATAGAGCAGAACCAGTAGCCACTAGTTGTTCTATTTACAGTGTCCCATACAATGACAAGGTTGTATGTTACTTGAAATTGGCATGCAACAGGACCGTCAAGCATTAAAATAATCATCTTAATAATCACTTATTGTATATTCTTATCACGCTTGGAATTTCCTGATGAATCCGATACAAAAAGTCTTGATAAAATACAAATACGTCTCCTTGAAAAATGTTTTAGAAGTGATATTTGGCATTTGGTTGAAATACTACATTAGAATGTAAGTGCGAATGGCAAGTTTTATTTACATGTATAATATTTCTCACTGTTTTAAAACATACGTCTGATAAATTGGAAAATGAAGTCTTATTATGATTTCCCAAAATGTATTTAATTGATCGATTAAGTAAATAAAAGTAAGTAGGTATGGTATAAACACGTAGATAACCACATAAGTAAATACGAGTTATGAGGTACATAATCTGTGTACTAATTAAATTAATTTAATCATACACACGTAGTTACGAGAGAATTGCTTCAATCTACATAAGATAACCACAATTATCGATGTCATAAGACAATCACATCCATAAATATCGGTTCATTCGTATGCTAAGGGAACTATTCTGAACACATGTCGATGTGTTATTCTTGTAAACTTACGCGCTTCTGTTACATAAAACGATCAATGTTGGATGGATCGTTCGACATGATAAAACGAATCCACTATGCGTGCAGAATTAACGCGACTTCCATGGAATATTCTCAGTACATTACAATCTTTATTGTTCAGTAGACGTCTACTGAAGTTTAATTTCAAAGCAAAGTTTAATTTCTAAGAAAGTCCAGCTTAATATAGTCCATGATTTCGTAAATAAGGTACCGACCATTTTATAAATACATGCAATGAGAACGTTGTTGATCATGATAAACTTTAATTAAAATTCGAGTTTGTCAAATGTACTTGAAAACTTCGTTACATGTACTGTACTCGTATTAAATTCTCAAAAGATAAATCAGATAACCAAATTAGAATAATACCTCACTATTGTACTACTAAAACAAATCCTGGGAACAAGACGAGGTTCTTGTTTGTACTGTATTAAAAGTTGGGAAATAGAGAAAAAGGTGTTCAGCCTCTTTGTACATAGCTAGCGTATCTGGCACAATCTCGCTGCAATGTTGGCAATACCGACGATTAAACTAATTAAAAAAAAGTATTTACCTTCTTGTGATTCCAGAGCACGTTGACGGAGGGTTTCCCGCGACGGAAATCACTCTGGTCTATGACGTCATCGTGTATGAGCGATGCCGAGTGGATCATCTCGCTTATCATCGCCACTTGTCGCTGTGACGGCAGCAATGCACTGCACCACAAAATAAACATTTATTAAGTTGTTCAACAATAGGTTACGTTAAGGTGAAAAACCTACGAAATGTATAAAACATGTTGTTTACATAAATTTTACACTAAAAGGTAACAAGTACATTTATTGTATGCAAATAATTAAACAATAACATTTATAAGTACCTAAGTTAACTGCATACCTACATAAAATATCTGCAATCTGCGCATAGAAAATCATAATAGTCCATATTATATTTTTATTTAGCTTTTTACGTTGGGTTTCTTATAAACCACGATACATATAACGAATACGAAGTATATTGAAACAATGCCTTTAAAATCATCAAAGTGTTTGACGTGGTAACAGTTGATCTAACACGGTCAGATGTATACCGAACACGTTTAGCTAATAAATAGTTGATGGTTAAGTTTTTCCAACAAGTTTTACGTGAATGTAATAATCGGACAATACGTAATGTTTCATGTTCTTCGCAACAGCTGTGACGTGTGATGTACCTAAGATGCATTATTTATTAATTTGCAGACTATATTATAAATAGAATTACAGAATATTGTGGTCGCTAGCTTGCTAGTTAGTATTGTTAGCGAGACAAATACAGTTGGATTGAAAATTTTGATACATTTTGACTACAAAAACTGAATACTTTAGTCAATATTTGCAGCAATGCTGTACAAACCTTAAATTACTATAATTTATCAGTTATTAATGTTGCTATCATGAGTAAAATATTCACGAATTAATTGCTAGGTAGCGAATCAGTACACGAGTACCTGCGCGGTTACGAATCAAACAGGAGCATTGCGCCGTTAGCCATGAATGCACTCAAAACTAGACAATTACGTACATTAGAACTACTCAAGCGAGATTTTGTTACAACATTTACTTACATACGTTAACTGACATGAAACTAGTAGCTATGATATATTACTCTTTGTTAGCTAAATTGTTGGTAAAAGAACTGTCGTTTTCTTTGAGATGAAATACCAATGTTGTTATACAATTTTAGACATGTTTAAAACAAGAAAGGTACAATATTCAAACGTCTGTAATTTTAAAACTATTAAATTTTGTTGTTGTTAATGTCTATGTATATTTATGCATTCATCCTAATTACATTTTTACGCCACACGCAAATATTTTAATTGCAACCTACTCTAATGGTTTTACAACTGTACGATTACCATCAGTTTCGTGATACTTAGCTTTTATTTTAAGAGAAAAATAAAGGTAGCGATTGCATCAATAAGATAGAAAAGCCTTGGTTAGCGGTTGGTAGTGCTTGCGCATACCACGCGATGTGCGGGATACTTCGCGTGAAGGTTTCGAAGACGAGTATCTATAATATGATGCCATGTGTTAGCTCACTCATTCCTTCAGCAAGACAACTACTTTTTCTATTATTAACTACGACATCTTATTTTAAATAATAGCGATACCACTTAGAATTAAATAGAAGATCATGTTTGAATATCGTCATCGGTATCATGCGTGTGGTTAAAGTACTTAAAATATTCAGGACGTGTTAGAGGGGAACCACAGGGAGCACGTGCGTTTAATGCCTGAATAGGACATTTACTATTCATTTATTATAATTATTTGCACTCACGGCAAAAATAAAATCGTCTGCTTTTAAACTTCAGATTTTCCTTAAGATAGAAAAATGTATTCCAACTTGTTTCTCACAATCCATGTAAGTTGGACAAATAAAATACGAGCATTCACCTTTATAGATTAAGCAAACTTGAATATTGTACCTTAGATTTCAGAATAATTTATTTATTCAACATTTCAGGTTAAAATATACTTCTTTCTTATTGCGGATAGTTCACAAAAACGTTACATACTGTACTAAATATTGGTTGTCCAACTATCAGTGGTGGCTGGGCGATCAATTCTTTAGACAACGAAACGTGGTTTATTTTTGTAAAAAGCATTTGTTTTTTAACAATGCGTGCATTTTTATTAAAAAGCAATTACAATACTACTACATAATTAAAACACGCAGGTACTTCATAAACAATCTAGACTAATTTTGTGATAATTAAAATCTACTACGTTCTAATCTTCTTCAATCTAATTATATCTGACCATAGAGTTCAACCTTCGATTTAATGCAATAAATGGTCTCGCGATATGTGACGACATAAAGACCTTTGAAAAATCGTTTGTTCAAGGTCCTCGGCGAGACATTGAACTATGGAGCGTACGGTCTGATGACCGAAAGCAATCCAAAGTGTTGGCAAACAGATACTGTTAGGCAACAAGTTCAATGAATTAAGCGAAAGGCTCGGAAATAAAAGTTAGATATCAGTTTCGCTCCCACTTCCACTTACTATGCTATTTTTGTCTTGTTTATATTTTAAATACAGAACAAAAATCAATAATTTTGACGCTTCTAAGTTTATCTACTGCTTAAAATATTTCCATAGAATAACGTGTGAATAAGTGATGAAGATGTTTCGGCAATTTGAACTCTCACACCGATGTTACTCAAGTAGTAGGTACAATTATGCCTATTCATCAAGTTCATTCATATTAACACTACCGCTATACATTTATGTAGTAACGCTACGGGTCATTTGGGAGTGGTCAAAACTTTAATGTCAATTACACTGTGGGAGACTTTTGCACTTTGGCTTTTAAACTTCAATGTCTCTCTTTCAAGGCTAAAATTGTACATAGTGTTCAAGTAGTTTTCTTTCGGATCGTAAAGAAGCACAACGTGATCAGACATTGTTTACGCTCATAACGCTTGTGGTTAGTACTACAAAGCAAGATTGCGGGTGACCCCAGACTTTTCTAACTTTCTTTACTTTCTTACCACTATGAGTAGCATGAGTATTCATGATACAGCACATTGTTTCATAAAAGAATCCATTTAATTCAATAGCGTTACATTATAAAAAAAATTAAGATTTAATATGGATGGACTCTTGCTTGTTAAGTTTTTATGGCTATGTATGTTTGACTATAATATGGCTTTTACATCAGTCAGCCAGATTTAAAATCATTGTCTATAAACTGTATTATTACATAAGCAATAAGCATGCCATCCAATCTTGTCTTAAAGTCGTAAATTGTGTATTCAAACTTATATTGCAAGCGTTTAAACGTGATATTTCAATAGTAGATACATACCTGTTTTCTCCATAGACGTGGTAGTTAACGGCCCTCGCCATGAGTATGGCCACCATCGGCCTGAGCGCCTTGCCCTGACCATCGAAGTAGTATGTGGCTATGGTGTTGAGTTCTGATTGGTTGGTGTTACGCTCCAGCTCCTGTCGGGCAAAGGGGCTACAGTCGAGTTGGGATCACATCCAAATGAATATCAAAAAACATATTAGTTGGCGTTGCGCTACAAAATAATATAAACAAACACGTCAGAACAAAACTTATTGTTCAAATAGTAAATCTTTAGGTGATTTAAACAAGTGTTTGGTTGCTCTTAAATATACGATTAGCTATTTAAGTGTAAATATACAACAGGTCATATGCAGATGAGTAAAGTTTTTAAGTCAAATCATGTTTCAAATTAAGCAAATTAATCTCAAGTTCACAACAAAGTCGTTGACAATTTAAAGTCGCGTAAATTGTTTCCAAGTATAAGACATACATACATTACATTTGTATATTTTTGGGAACGCAATATGTCTTGAATACTGTCTGCCGCCACCATAATTTTCAGTCGTTGCACTGATAAAACCTTTAGGTTAAATGCGAACTCTATCGCATTTCATACGAGCTGATTAGAATTGACAAACACGATAACCAAGTGAACCAGCACTGTGAACTCATTGATATCGATATACTTTAATATAGATTACTATAATCTATTACATAAATTGTCCACTTTCTTACTGCTTAGTATTAGATTTCAAGAAATCGTATAGGTTGTATTGACAATTTCACTATAGCGACAAATGACTCATCTTATAAAGCGAGACATTTCTCTTTCCTTCACTTTCTATATTCATTAAATGTCATAAGTCTGCTAATAACCACAGATGTGTGTGTTTTTCGATATAATATAGCAATTATACGCGCTACAGTCTCGTAGTACTTGCTACGAAATATTAAAATGAATTCCAATGGCTACACGATAACTATTTGTGATCATTTTATCAGACAATCGCTCCATTTTATTATCAGCTCACTTGAAATAGATCGCATAAGTCAATAATTATGTGATTCAGTTCTTTTATTTATATTTCTATTACACGTTTTTAAACTTTAATAAGAACTATTCGTTAAAATAAGAAAGGACGAGCCTCCTTAGTTTCTTCGTCATCTGGTAAGCATCTACATCGTAGATATGTATGTACTTAGTTATAAGAGAATTCACGCTCTTGATTTTATCGGTCGAAATGAAGTAGATTCTTTAACGGTCTGAATGGCAAGTATGTACAACATAAATATCATATTACAGCTAATTTAATTATCTACCAAGTACAGCAAGACGAATCGTTACAATGTTTTAAAGTCCAACACTGGATTGTGTTCGCGTAAAAAATAAGTAAGTGCTAATTATTATGATACGCATTTGTTGAGACCGTAGAAGGCATTCTAAACGGTGTTACAACAGAGATAATTTGCAACTGCCTGAAGGACTCGGTGGTTGTTTTCAGCTAGACAGTGTGGTAACCACCATCGACTGCACATTGACGCAAGCTTGACGCAAGTGTCTTCTTACCATGCGACTTTTGGTACAACCTTTTCAATTATGATTGTTGAACATCAATTTTATTGTTACGCTGACGAAGTTTATATGCAAAGTCATACTAAATCGTTAACAGGTGACCTGTATTGATAATGAGCGTTTCTTGTAAAATAAAAACTAGATTTTATGAACCAAAACTATACTGCTTCACAAGTTGTAGATGTTATATCAGAGATAATATTTGTAACTATGATTTTCATAATCAGCTGTGATAATAAAAAAAACTACATAATATATTAATATATACGTAGTAAAATGAGTAGATTAGCATAAAAGTTTTGTAAGTTTTACCAAATATACGTGTAGGCGCACCCAACGTTGCAGCAAACTTCCTTAAATAAATAACCTAAGGCTTCAGTTTGGTAATACTGGAAACAGTCACGGACACAACTATAAATAATAAGTATTCAAACAGCATTGTTAAATACTTTATCATTGTAAACTAACTAGTCTTTGATGCGTTCCACACAAAACCTTTCTATATAACACGAATCTTCAACCATTGACGTGGTTGTGACATAAATATTTATAAATATATTCATAAATTAATTTTCAAACCTTTTGCAATCTCACTAATCCGACATTGAGATTCGTTAGTAAAGACTGAGATGAAAATCAAAGCAATGTACATAATATCTTAAAATTGTGACTATTTGTTACGTATCGTACACGGTAATTATAGACTAAGGTTTCGAATCTGACTAAACATAAAAGTAAATATTTGAAGAATGGATCCTTCACTTACTGTTGACCGTACATATACAAAACATCACGCAGTTCTCACTACGAAATCTATGTCCTACAATGAGATTAACCTTCTACTAGCTCATAATCATGCGCAGTAGCATCATCCACTGTTTGATTGTTGATGTGCTATGGAGCCAAGGAGTTCCTTTAGCAAGTATGTACTTAAGATCTATCAAGGGTACGGTGAAGAACCGTAGATCGAACCTTTAGTTTCTGTTGTTTTTAATTTAGGTACTATATAAATAAGAAAAAACAAAACGATTTATGCTGCCTGCCAGTCTATTTATTCCACGAAATATTCTGGTTAAAAATACTTTTACTTTCAAAAAATACTTGTTTTCCTCCTTGTACAATAAACGTAAGCACATAATAGATATGCCAATTTAATTTGACAGTCATAGTAATTTTTTAAACAAATTTACATTTGTGCGAACCCCTTTCAAGGTCGGCATTATTTTGATTTCTACCGGATAGTAGCAAAGTGTTGTGTTTGGTTAGTAAACACAATTTTCTTGTATCAATTACTTTAGGTAATTATATTTTCAAACAGTGCCAAGCAGAACTAAAATCATACGCATACGCGAAATATCGTCCGCACATCCATATTAAATTACAAACCAATGACTTATCATACTTTCGTACTTACATACTTATCATTCAGTCATTAATATTTAACAAGTCAAGTTTTTATATGGTAGATAGTAACTAAAATACTTTATTACTATTTATAAGTAAAATAATTCACCCAGACATTAAGGAATGCAAACTACAAATGATGCTCAATGTCACATTGACTGTTTTGTTATTAGTCAATAACTGGCAGTTACGTTTAATTTGCACATAAATACAATGATGCCAATACTACAACCTTGCTACTGTAAAACCAACAATGACAGGCAATTTTCAGTCATATAGGAAACTGTAAGTTATAATGTAACAGCGACAATCTAATAAATGTTATTTAACACAATACCTTTATTGTGAAATATGACATCAGACTGACCAGGTGGAATTGCCCGGTATCATTTGATAATTGAAGCCACTGTGCCAAATACTTTAAAGGAATCGTAAACTTTACGTTACGGTTAGTGAAATAGTTTCAGTTTTTCTTGTGTAAATAGAAATAGCCTTGTAAATTTTCCCGTAATTTAATTGAGTAAAACTAAAGTCAGTAACGGAAACGAAGTAATGAGAATACTTGTTAGTTGTTTTTGCGTACCGGGTCTGGAAACAAGGTCAATGTTCAAGTTTAGCGCTGTTCCACGCCACACTTTCCATTTCCCACTCATTGCTTAGCACTGCGAGACCCATTAATTACGAAAATGACTACTTACTCGGAGACAATTTGCTTTGTGACTAATGTAAACAAGGCGTTAAACTACTTTTAGCTAAAAGAAACAATATTAATCACATTGTCTACGGTAACAACACCAGTTATTGTTACTTATTAAAAGGTTAATCAATCAATCAATATCGTCACTTTGCTTGATCGGACTTAGCTAATAAATAATTATATGAAACGCAATATAATTAGGAGATCTTCTCCTTGTCTGACCAAATGAAATGTCATCATTAATTGGTGTCTGTAGAAGTCGTAGTAAAACTAAGATTGAGTAAAAACTAGAAATCGGCCTATATGGCAACAAAAGTGGAGGAAATGATCATGTAGAAATATACAAGTTGCCAGTACAGCATTCACACGGGCCTAGTTTTAGACGAGTTTTCCAAACAGAAAGTAGGCAAACGAGCATCTAGCATCGCATTGCCATCACAAACGGTGGTGATACACTAGGACCGATGTCACTACTCACTCGTCAACCTGTTTCTCGCATTCCTTTGGTTTTCTTTAATAATGCTCAAGGTATAAAGCAATATTTTGAATAATAACTAAATGAACCAGGAAGAAAGAGCGGTTACCTCACAATATAAATACAGAAGAGGGATAGCGAATCGCAGTTAAGCACTCGGTACTCGAACGTAAATACGCTTCAAGTATAGTGCATTGCAACGTTTTGCAACATCGTTGTCAAAAGTTCAGTTGAGCTAAATGCGCAACCATACAACACCGGCGAGGTTGCCGGCGTCGAGCACAATACAGAGGATGTCATTAATTTTGGTGTTTATACTGCTTTAAGGTCAGTTTCTGCAATTACATTCTAGACCCTCATGCTCCAGTGCCCTGAAGTCATTTAATCACAATAATTGTGAGACATTTTTGGCAGTGAATCTGTATGAGCACCAAGGCCCAGTTGAAAATCTTCAAAACAAATATTTGACTAAATAAACTGATATAGTTAAAGGAATCTTTGTATTTAGGTTTCTTCGAAGATTTTGGGTATTTGTATGAATTAGGTTTGTACGGTTAGGTGCTTTTATATCTAGCAAACTGTGAAGTCAGCGAGTAATTCGTGTTACAGTTTACCGTATTGTATGCCACAGATCTCAATTACCGCCGATGCGCCAATTGCACAACCCGAACTGACCAACGTGCTAACACGTCGTGACTTTGACACAATTGTCGATCAATAGACACACTGCCGACCGATGGGATCATAAAGAGTTCCCTTTTATATCGCAGCCTATGATACAATGAATGACACATTGATCAGTCTACTTTTGTCGGTTACTCGCTGTTTATTGTAATTACAAAGTCAATCAGATACGATATTCTGTGACTGTTGATGACGCTGATGACAGTCATTGTACCTATGCGCTGTGTCACCCTTTCATTTATAATTTTAATTGATTTAGCAATAATGTAACTTATCATAATAATACAAAGGTTCAATTGTAACTAAAATTTGAAATAATTAAAGACAAAAGATTTAATTAGAATTTGATGTAAAAATACTTTAGAAATAATGGAAGAATATCCTTTTAGCGTTTTATATGTTCATTAATCACCTTTAATGAATTGAGTTCCACGCAATAGCTATAAATAAACGTTGCACTTACGGATCTGATGTCTTCATATATTCCATTGAGGTCGTCTTCCAGTAAGCGATAGGGGTCGACGATCTGTGTGCCGTAATCTGGTAGGGAGCCAGTGCTTGTGCTCTGGAGGCTGGATGCGAGGCGGCGCACCAGCCCGCTCGATGCTCCCGCGCTGAAACCACCCGACCCGCAAGCAGGGCCGCATGTTGTGACTCTCTGTAATTAAACAAAATACACACAATAAATAACAGCTACAAATCTTAAGCTTAGTAACTTATAGAATTTGTTTGCTCTATAGTTACTGCAATCTTTTTGCACTGATTTTTTATTAGAATTGATATCTAATCTAGACTTGAGTCAGTTGTATTTTTAAATTTGGTCCATTGAATCAGTGAGCAGTGGGTGAGTGTCCGACAAGGCACGAAGGGTGCGGCAGGTGCCCTTAACTAAGTGGTAGCGTCGACAGCGGCAGTGACCGCGATACGCGGGTGTCGCAATTCCGTTTATGCAACTGCAAGCGAGTGCAGTACGCGCCCGATGGGCTGCGACCGGCCCGTGTTGCAAAACCTCCACACGTTCGGCCGACGCACGTATGTGCCAGCAGGTACCAGACCATAGATGGACACATTTGCGGTTATAAGTTAAGAAAAAACAATTAGCTAAACCATCGTTTTGGCTTCATTACGTCACATTGGTATTACATCTTCTTATGAAATATGAACGCAATTGTTTGTTTACATAGAGTTACCACGTGCTTATTGTGATAATCGTTATATTTTGGATCAGATCTGTTAAAAAGGACCCAATGTACCAAAACTTTCATTCCGAAAATCTTATTCATAACCGTACTGACCGTGAACCCTCGGTATACTTTCATTTATTGCCTGGTTATATAAAAATGAAACTATTAAACCGTGCATGCTTGGTTAACTACAAGTCCACAATGAACATATTTTATTTTCTATGTATGAATACTCGATTTAGCAAATAATTATAAAAATATAAGATAGACATCAAATAAAGCTTCTTTTATTGAGGTTGTGTGTTAAACGCTGCGAAGGACTAAGCTTTAATTGAGCGTTAGTATCAGACAGCCATTCTCCAGTTGAGGCTCGTGATGAAGCTAGCGCGAGGTAGGATCAATGTTGCAATTTTAAAATCAAATGTATTATTAGTAAACGTAGTTCGAGCTGTGAATATGCTTCAAGGTTCATGTGCTAATGTTTATCTTACTACAGAAGTTAAAAGTCATAAAAAAAGTTGTTATTTTAATACGATTTCAGAACTATTTACAGTCAGTCGATTTTGATACATATTTAAACTCTGTACAGTGTGTTTAAAAACCTACTTAACGAGATAAATAGAAAATCTTTACAAGAACAAGATTTAATCAAACGTACGAACCTATCTCAAGTTCTAATAATTCTTTAGTTGTTTACATCAGATTGATGTACATCGGTGCTTATACAACATGATACGTAATAATTTATTAAAAATAACACGGATTAGTGGAGCCGTTTCGACAACATCCTTAATTCACAGCGACGTATGATGCGTAGCATAATAATTACTTCCATACGATTTCACACACGTTAACACAGTAAAGGACGGCTTCATTGAAGATTTTGCGAATCAAGTAACAACGCATTTATAGTGATAATGTATTTAATTTATTGAAGCTGTTCTTTTAAAATTAATTAATTTTGAACTAAGGTTAACTTGTGAGCATTTCTAATACTTCTATTTTAAATGTAAATTAATCCGAAGTGAAACCACAATTGTTTACCGTTCGCTGTTACCAAGTAAGACATTATGGAAAAAGAAAATGGTAGGTAAATATGTAAACGTTAATTTCTGTTGAAGGAAATCGCTTTAGAGGTAAGTTATAATAAAATGGTGACAAAGAAGTACTCAATTAAAAAAATATTCGTATTTTTTAAAATAAATTCTACTTTTAGTTTTCAAGGTAACTGCATACATAATTTCTAAAAAAACGAAAGAGAAAATTGAACAACGTTTTCGCAATTAAACATTATTCAGAAAACTTTAAAAGAACGTACATGTAATACGATAAGTTTCAAAAATATTCTTGACCTGTGGTCATATGCAAAGCACTAAATTAACCACTTTGTCACAGTAATGACCATTTCCTACTATTAAAATCACAAATAAAGATACACAGTTGACCTTAAGTAGTAAGCTTTCAATTATTTATCTCCAGGAAGGCGCTTACTGTACGTCACATTATATGAGAGAGTATATTCTGAAACCTTGGCGAAACTATTGATTCACCACTGTCCTTCTCATATCCCGTTGTTCATACGACCCCGGAACATACCTACGAGTTATTCTTTAATTATATTTTGTATGAGTACTCCTTTTATGCTTTTAAGGTTTTATGTTCAATTAAGTTAAGATATCCTGCTCAATTAAATTGAATAACCACAATACAACGTACTTATTGACGTCATTTCAGTCGCGACAATTCTAAGTATTTTCACACGTACCTGTAATGTCAATAAGTAAACAGAGCCTATTAATTAACAAGGAAAAACTCATTAAAATGTCCCATTCGTTTCTATGTGGTTTTCTTTTTAGTAGACTTGAATTATCTACGTTCTAGCAAACATTCAGCAGGGTGTCTGACTTATCAAACAAAAAAGAATAAATATCGCTTGGATACCTACGAAATAAAAATCATGATATCCGTGTTCAATGTAAATGAATAACAACATTGTCGCACGTAAAATTGCATGTGTTACTGGGCGCACATAACAATTAAAACACGATAGAAAGTGAGCGTTTCGAACGCTCTTGCGCATCAACCGACACTGTTCTTAAAATAGAAGTGAGCATCAATTGACACGTACATTAGATTGATATACAGCTGTTACGTGGACATTTAGACTCATTATGTCAACCCAAAGGAACCACTTGATTATCAATGGACATTTCAAAACTACTAAAAATAATGTTTTCTGATTACTGTGAATTAAACCCCGATCATGGATCATCTACAGAGCACGACTTTTCACACATATTTTGTCATACAGGAAGGCTGTGCGTGCACCTACTTACATAGGAAATTGTAGTATTGTTTAGGATGTGTACTTCAAAAACGTACTTTGTAAAGCAAATACATAAATATCTCGTCTTTGTCATGTACTCACAACCGAAACAAGAATAGGTGCGCTCGTTAGAACAAATATTAATTTGTATGCCGCTCAAGTACCACATGCAAAACTATAGCAAAAATGTGCCTAGTTAAGTTTTAGCAGACTAATACATGCAAATAATTGCTCGTAGATCATTATACGTTCCAAGGTCTTCAATGACGAAGATCTGTTCAAATAACAATAAAACTTGCACGTGAATAAACTGTACAATTTACTTTTAATTTATTCCAAGCCTGATTTACCTAACCACATATTGATAATGTTCAATTTACTTAATCACATACTTGACGAATTAATTATATTTACTAATATTTTTTGTATAGTAAGCCTAGTGAGGAATGTCATTCATTAATGATTTTTTACTAAACGTATTACAATATGATTATAATTCGAGAGAGCGTCGAGAAGTGAAGGTTGATACAAAACCTCACCCAATTATACTCATCCATCTTCAAAGTAAAGAAGGAATGGACAATAGATGCATGTGCACGGCATCCACATAATTTGATACATTTTTTTCCTAATATAGCGAGATGGCTTCGGACCTCATACACACTACTTACTTGTTTTTTTGTTGGTTTGAGACCAAAGGAATGTTTTAAGTAGAAAGTTGTATTACATGTAGTTAGATAGGGATAATACCGAAGAGTTTTATTATAGTATCTATAGTAGTTTTAAGGAAAGGCCAAGTTAAAAGTAACAAACACCTTCTAAGTAAATAAATCATGTCATTTCTGACTAAGTGTCAGCCTTTATTTTAGTATACGTGGAAATGACCATGATATTTTTTCCATTATTGTTTTATAGAAACAAGTAATATTAATAATTTACAATCACACAAGTTTAAAAATAAAAGTAGATTAAAGGACTAGTAAATGTAGTTGCGCATGCTAACGCGTGCAAAAGACATCAACGCGTCAGCTGCGCCGACGCAAACTCATCGCGCATAATTTAACATTTTCCCATTATCTGGACATTTTACGATGTGCAAACTGCAAATATATAAAAGGATGTTTAACAGAGATGACGAAATGGTAATCACGCAATAGTAGATGATGACGACGGAATTATTGTCCACTATATTCTTTAGTCCTATAAGAAATGTAACTTACAAAGGTTGTTATTTACATTGTTCTGGTTTTTATATTATTTTTACACAAAACATGGCTGGGTGCATCGATAACAAACTGACCCAAAATCCTACAAACACCTTCGTCAGGGTCGGAAAGGGTCAATATCATTTTGTACGACAGCTCCGAACGAAATTACTCCTAACATGCGATGTTAGTTATTGCATCACATGACCGCAATCTGTCTAGACATTTTAAAACTACTTCAAGCAAGCAAAGGTAAATACAATTTAATATAAACATTTAAAGAAAATGTTGGCATAGTGTTAAACACAGCGGGACCGTTCGCTGATAAGATATAATAGAAACACTGTCACCTTGGTATCCTAAATCAAAAATTGAGAAAAATTATAATTGGTGCACGATCGTAATGTGACCTTTTTTATAATGACGTATAACAATCAGCAGTTTTATTGGACACTATTCATTTCGACCTCGACAATATGCGTGTTTGTTAGTTGGTACCAGCAGTAAGTGCAACCACAGCGTATGGTATACCAAGGTCGTTAGTGCACCTACTGGTAGTTAATGATCACGGGTGCAATTAGCCTCCACCGGTCTGTGGCGAGAGGCATGTCGGTCGAAGACGCCCCACCCCGCTAGGTTATGAATCAAGGACGGATTTAACGGGAACAACTGGTTTCGATTATGAGTACCTGTACCACAGAATACGAAATTGTCAGAAGCTTAATATAACAACTTATTGCTGCCTGAATTATAAGATGTAATTTACCTATACCATGAAGAATTTGAAAGTAATTATGGCTGCAAATTCAGTGAATTAATATAATAAATAATTTCTATAAAGGACAAATGTGTCAAATCAAGAGTGTATATAGGAGATACCTATTGTGTTAATTATTGGTCAAATCAAATCAAAAGTAAAGTGTTAAAAACTATTTGGCACATA